CATATGTCATTTCTCTTAAAAGAAATGACATTAGCTCAGAAGGATGATTGAACATGTGAGTGAGCAAACCATACTAGGTTGGGAGATCCTAGCTTATCTTAATGTGTTACTCGGAGAGGTGAGGTGTCCCTTCTCTTGACTTTGCTTCTTTAGAAAATGAGACTAATAAACATATCAACCTCATAGTGCCATTGGAAGAAGTAAACAAGATTATAAAATCCTAAGTTAGTCCCGTAGACATCACCTAGACGTAGCAGTGTTAAGACCATCTCTCATTATTGTAAAGCTTATGAGCATCTGCCCTCATGACCATTACTATTATTAAGTATTTCTGGCAGTCCCATGATGCAAGGATAGTCAGTATCACCATTCTGTAACAAGAACGTACATGATGGCCTGAGGTCATATTGTTAATGAATGACTACAGAGGGCATGAGGTCTTTGTACTCACAGAAAAGCACTAGGGAATCCAGAAATGTTAAATATACAAGACTGGCCAGGCATGGTGACTTACACCTTTAATCCCAGCACTTTGGAAGCAGAGAGGGGTAGATCTCTCTGAGTTTGAGGCCAGCCTGGTCTACAAAGCAAGTTTGAGGTCAGCTAAGGCTGTTATACAAAGACAAAAACAAACAAACAGAAAGAAACCAAACAAAAAACAAAATTAATTGATTGATTGATTGATTCAGGGTTGTCTCTTCAAAGGAGATGTGCAATCTGTTTTCCTGCTCAGAGGGCTGGGAATGAATATGGTTAATAGCCTGGTGAATTTTACACTATCTGTTATGGCCAGGCTACTCCGGTTCCTCCAGAGTCTTAATAAACAGGACAGAGGTGGTTTATAGCCTGGTGACCTTTGCAGCATCTGTATGACCAAGACCATACCAAGCCTTCTCCTAGACCCTTAAGATGTCACACGTAGTAAATCCATAAAACCCATTTTGATAGAAGAGGTCACATGAAGTTTAAAAAGAGTTTTAATGTAGTTATGCCTTAAGCTTTATTGTGTGCATGGAACTGACTTAATTAAAACCAGGAAACTTTGTTCCAAATTATATTGTACTTAAGTATCCCTAAAATAAGCCGCCCAGTGTCAGATTCTAGAAGTTTGAACCAACACCAGCTACTGAGTTGTGCTAAACCAGACACCCTTCTTGTCTAACACAGATCATTGCTCTGCTGGCCTTGATGGTCTGAGACACACCCTTCCCCATGACAGAAGTGGGAAAAGCTTAGATTTGACACTAAAGCCTATGTGCTTCCACCAATTCAGAAAATGCCTCCATGGCACCCTAAGAACAATCATCCTACTGACTTAAAGTGGGCGACCTTCTTCACGTGGAAAGGATGCTATAGGCAAGTCCAGGGAGCCGATGAGGATTAGGCACAAAACCGGGAGATGGCCTCTCTTTATTTGCAAAACTGACTCCAAGGTCATCAAAATCATTCCTAGGCTAGAGAGATGGCCCAGTAGTTTGGAGCATTCACTGCTCTTACAGAGGACCCAGGTTCAGTTCCCACCACCCATGTGGGAGCTCACAGTCATCTGTAACTCCAGTACCAGAGAACATGATGTCCTCTACAAATGGCCTGCACATGGTACATACAGGCAAAATAGTCATAAAATTAAAGTTAGTCATAAATTTTTAAAATGGGGGGGACTAGAAAGATAACCTGACAGTTAAGAGCACTGGCTGCTCTTGAGAACTGAGATTAGATTTCTAGTACTCACAGGGTGGCTAATATCAATCTGTAACTCCAGTCCTAGGGGACCTAATGTCCTGATGCCCTCTTCTGACCTCCACAAACATGGTATACATCTGGTACATAGACATACATGTAGGCAAAACACCTAAAGCATACAATAAAAACATTTTTTATACAATATATTTTGATCATGTTTTCCTATTTCCCAAAACCTCCCAAATATTTTCCACCTTGCTATCCACCCTTTTCCAAGTTATTTCTCCTCTCTCAGAAAAACAAAAAACAAACAAACAAAACTAAAATGAAAATCAAAGCAAGCCAAAAAACAAAACAACAACACCTAAAAAGAAAAATGACAAAAAAATGTCAAAACAAAACAAATTGGAACAAAAAGCCCATAAACTGTAAAACAAACAACACTTCCATTGAGGGTGGGAGATATTTCTCTTTGCTAGCAGCTATGTATTACAAATAGCTTCTTGGTTAAGTGTCTACTCCCCCATTCAGTGCTGGAACCCCATCAGTCTTGAGCCTGGGCTGGCCCTGAATCTACAGCCACATTCTCTGTGAGCATGTGCATCAGTCATGCTGTATCTGGAGGATACTGTTTCTTTGGAATCATCCACCACCTCTGTCTCCAACAAGTTTCCTGCTTCTTCTTCTGCATAGATGCCTGAGCCTTAAGGGGAGCAACTTGATAGACATCTCACTTAGGACTGAGTACTCCAGAGTCTCTCACTTTGTGCACACTGTCCAGTTGTGAGTCTCCTTGTTAACTCCCATCCACTGCAGGCTGGGGAGAGCTGTCAACTGTCCTTCTGGGCCAGAAAACACAGGACTCTTCTTTGCAAACCATGAGTGACTGGTAGAGCTGTTGTGCTTGCCTGCTTCCTGCCTCTTAGGGATTGGCTCTGTTAATTGATGCACTTTGAACAATTATTTAACCTTCCTGTGCCTCAATGTAGCCCATCTTCAAAATGGACATGATATACTAATGGTTTGCTTACAGAACTGTTGTGAGGTCACACTAATAAAAACCTACATAAAACTTGCAATGAAAGACAGGTATGGTGGCTTTGTCTTAGTTTAAGCACTTAGGCTGTAGCAAGATCACTGAGTTTGAGGTCAGCTAGACTACAATATGAGACTTTAGGAAAAACCAAAAATCTTGGCATGTGTCTTGTTACGGTTTTGCATCTCTGAACAGACACCATGACCAAGTCTGAACAGGCAAGTCTTATAAGGATGACATTTAATTGGGGCTGGCTTACAGGTTCAGAAGTTTAGTCTATTATCAATGTGGGAGCATGGCAGCATCCAGATAGACTTGGTGCAGGCAGAGCTAAGAGTTCTACATCTTCATCTGAAGGCTAATAGAGGAACACTGGCTTCCAGGCAGCTAGGATGAGGGTCTTATAGCCCATACCACAGTGACACACTTCCTCCAACAAGGCCACACCTTCTAATCGTGCCACTCCAAACCATCACAGCATGTGCTTGACATTTAGTAAGTAGCCAAGATAGAGTGACTGAATGTGAGTGTTCAGTACATTGGGGGTAGACTCTTAAACTGTCATCTCATTTCGGCCACTGAAGAGACTCCAGGTTCTTTTTGAAATGTTAAAGAAACACTGCCCAATAGTTAATCAGCATTAATGCCAGAAAGGTAGCTTCACTCTGTAGCTATTTGCTGTACATTGGTCTCTGTGAGCAGGAATGTTAAACCACCACTGTCAGCTGCCCCTGGTACAGAGTAATAATTCCTATCTTAAGATGGAGAGCATGTCCCTCTCTGCTGGTACTGGATGTGCTATTGGGTCCACCTGAGCTAAGAGTGACGCTCAGGAGCCTCCAGGCACACTGGGAGACTTTCCCTGAACTAAAGATTTTGAACTGAAAATTGTGTTTTGGAAATCATGAATCTTTAAATGAATTTGTTTCGTTCTCTGCTGTTAATGCTGTACATTAGCCAGGAAGAAATATGATTAGGTAAAGCAATTATTCACTTTTAATAAAGTATTGAAAAACATGAGGTAAAAGACTTTGTAGATACTCTCGATGCATAAAACTGTGGAATGAAAACTTAGTGTGTATCTTGCAGCCCCTTTAATATTTCTGAGGACCCCCTTTCTTTCCCTAGGGTTCTGCATCTCACAGGGACTTAATTTCCTTTGACCAAGAAAATCAGAGGAAGAGTTCCCATACTAAAGTGGTGCTAAAGAATAGAAGTATTCACCACGCCTCAGATTCCTGCTTCTCGACACTGACAGGGCTTAAGGGAGCCCTGTGTGTCTTTTCCTTTCTGTTTATAGGCAAGAGAGGAGGAAAAGGGTTGCTCTGGCTGGGCAGTATGGGGCCATATCTTCACACAGGAGATGGCACATGGGTGTGACTTCCAAAGTACAATAAAGCCTGTTGGCCACTTTATGTCCTCGAGTAAAAAAGAGAACCAAGGGTCCCTTGGTTTTGTGAAGTCTGCCTTGACTGGGAGACCCCATCACTTTTTTCTGGGGTCAGCTGGAGATGCTATTCTTTTTCCTTCTGTGGTTTCTCCAGTTACCTTGTGACGATCATTCTGATCTCTCCTGAAGAGGTAGTGAAAGAGCCTGGAGTGGCTTTACACACAGCTGCCACCACACACTGTCCCCTTAGACGCCAGACACAGCCCCCAGCTCTGGCTACAGGTTCCAGGGGAGTCTTTTGCTTCTGCCTCCCCAGGAATTGCCAGTCCCCAGTGTGGATCCTAACAACTAGAAGTCTTTAGCCAAGGGGAAAGAGCCAAACATAGGAGGGCACCAGTATGAATGGAAGTAATTACCAGGTCCTAAACAACATCTGGTTGACTAAAGGTGACATTATATTGAAATAGTTTTCAAAATAAATAAATAAATAAAAGGCCAGAGAGATGGATCTATGGTTAAGAATGCCTACGGAGGACCCAGTTTCAGGTCCCAGCACCCTTGTCTGACAGTTAACAACTATATTTCCAGCTCTGGGGAGTCTTGACACCTCTGGTCTGCAAGAGCGCTTTACTAACTTGCACATAACCATACACAGAAACACATAACTACACACAATTTTAAAACATAAATCTTTTTTTAAAGGACAGTTGTTTATATGTGCATATATGTGCATGTGTCTGTTCTTACCTTATACCACATGGGCCCCAGGGATTGAACTCAGATCAGGAAGCTGAGGGACAGGTGCCTTTGCCCATTACACTGCCCCATCTGCCCAAAACCACCAAGAATACTGTCCCGTTTCATCTTAAGAACAGAACCCAACAAAAATCATTAGTCATCTACAGATACATCTTTATTAGGAATGAGTCCTTCTCAGTGGAGACCAGAGAAGGGACCTAAAGTTCCATGATAATTAAATGTCATAGCAAGATATCAAAACAAAATGTCAAAGTATGAATGGAAGAAATTTAGGACAGTGTTTCGGAAACAACTTCTTCCACAGACATTCTTAGAAGGAGAATTCTGCAATTTTGCCTTTCATATTTGATTTCACTGGCACTCTAACTCTTATCAACACACAGCTGCTTGGGATTTTCTGGGCAATTAATCACCTTTACGAACAGAGCTGATGCACCATCTGCTCTGCCGCCTATGTTAATATGGCTTCAGTGAGGACTAACTAAGCTAAAGTTCTTCATCTGATTTTTTGAACAGCATCCTGAAATAAGTGTGAACTTCTGTGGGTTGTGGGAGGGCGAGGTTGAGAACACTAGCTGAGGGCAGTGAATGCAGAAGCAGGAAGGGTGCATGAACACGGGATGTAGAGACGTGTGTGACTCGTAAGCAAATTTACAATATCCATTGATTCAATAATCCTTTAGAAAGTGGACTTCTGCAAAGTGACTTCAGTGGACCAGCAGTAGCAGAAAACCAGCAGCAGATTCACTGGAGATTTAGAGCAACTGGGAAACATGGGCTTAAAGGTCGAGACTTGTCAGCACATGAAGAATGGATAATCAAACCTACGTAGTCTGTTAAGCTTCTCAGCCCCATGGTTAGAGGCAAACTGCAACAGCACTGAGGAAAAGAAGAAATAAAAGCAGCTTTGTTGAAAATCCCAGTCACCAGGAAATACTGACATTCTCTGTGATGCACATCAACTCTCAGGGCCTCTGGCCATCAGCGTGGCTGGATGGCTGTTGTCAGCATGGGATCAGCCTGGCAATAAAGACACAAAGAATTAGATTTTACAGCAAGAATGAGCTCAGCCTTCTTTCCCACCACCAGAACTCTCTCCTAGTCATTTAGATGCATTTGTCACAGGTGGCCTGTGGGTAGGAGCTGCCAGGAAAACAGGGACAACGTGGGACATGGAGGGGAATGAATGACTCTAGCAGTCTTCTGCTGGAAGGTGCCAGCTCACAGCGGGGAGCTGGGGAAATGGCATTTTCTTTCTGCTTCATTCATTTCAGCATGAACTGCTATGTATGGTCTAGAATAGAAGCCATTGGGTACCCCTAACTGTATTCAGTGATTGAGAACTCAGCATGAGCCCACAAGTTAACAACAGACACAGTGCTCACCAGCTGTGATGTTGAAAACAGGTATCCAAAGATGGACATTGACTATTTGAGGTCTGGAGACTCAACTGTATTTTTTTAGGCCTCACTGCAACTGTGTGTATACTGAGTAACAAGCAGCATATATGAGTAGCCAGAAGGATACATTGTTGATCTGTGAGTCATGCAGCCTCCGAAAGACCTTTTATGTTAAACAATCATTACTTTCTTTTTTTAATAAAAGAAAACACTTGAGTTTTTCTGTGTATTGAGTGCTTGGAAGCTTGCTAGCTCTATGGGATGAGGACAGAGAAGTCGCTCCTCAGACCTCAAGGTATCCTGGTGTTACTGCGCAGCTGAAGGCCCATTAAAGGAAAGCTTTTGTCTCCTAACAGAAAAGTGGAGTCTTTCAGTGGAAACATGCCATTGTCTCCTGGCTTAAGAATTGATCCAATTGGGCCCACCAATCACCTGGCCAATCACCACCCTTCAGGAAGGCAGGCAAACCTCAAGCCAAGCTAAGGAAACAGGAATAATCTTCCTTTAATGAGATGCTCTTTTCCTACCCTGCTCCTGATCATCAATAAATGTCATCTCAGTTCCTTAAATCACCCCAACCCAGAATCTCCTCCTACAGCATAATGGGAAACGGCAGCAGAATGCCTTGTCCCTCAGTGCCATGGCCCAGCCTCACCTGCCACTCCTTTCATAACTGCAGAGCTCCAATCTGCTTCAGCCGGGCCATCAGCTCCCCATTCTGTTGCATGGAAATGAGTTCGCTGCACCCACCTATGCAGTCTTTCCCGATGAAGACCCGAGGAACCTGGAAAAACAGACAAGTCAGGGTGGCTGAGGAGCCTTGTGACTAGTTTACACTTGTCCAGCATTGCCCTCTGTGCTAAGCTTTACAAACTGCTTTAGTCTTCTTTTGAAGACGTTTTATGAACAATGGTCTAAGAGTAGAAATAGTCATTTTAAAATGTTGTTGAGGGGCTGGAGAGATGGCTCAGTGGTGAAGAGCAGTGACTGTTCTTCTAGAGGTTCTGAGTTCAATTCCCAGCAACTGCATGGTGGCTCACAACCATCTGCAGTGGGATCCAATGCTGTCTTCTGGTATGTCTGAAGACATCTATAGTGTACTCATATACATAAAATAAATAAATATTTTTTTAAAAACTGTTGTTTGAGCCTGGTAGTAGCTCAGGGACACAGCTACTGAACATGTGTAAAATCTTCAGCCCCAGGTAGGAAAAAGGTAAGAAAAAAAATGGTTTTCAGATTGAGTGAGCTTACAATATTTTTCACTTTACAAACACACATCAGGAGCAAATTCTTATTGGTGCACTGAGACTACCAGGCTGCACTTTGATTCCTCTGCAATTGGAGCCAGACCTGAGACCTCATACTGAACCCGGGCAATCATGAGCATGCTTTTTTTTCAGTGCAGCTGGAAGGGAGGTCCAGGCTTATTAAACATTGCATCATTCTGATATTAAAAATACAGGTTAGCTGTCCTCAACTAGAAGACATACTATGATGTTTTGAGTCTCATTTAATCCCTTGCCTTCAGTAAAATACCTAAATGCTGTAGCTCTGTGTCCAAGCATATTGATTGTCTGGCTTCCTAGCCACACTGATGTGGTCACTGTACTTGTAGAATGGGTTCCTCTCAGTCACTGCCACTCCACAGAGCCCTGTTCAGACATTTGCCTGTCTTGTCACAGTTGAAGAGGACTTCAGACTCCCTAGGAAGGAAGACGTGCCCTCCCTGTGGCCAAGTAATTTCCAAACTAGGGCTGTCCCATAGGACTGCCTCTCACAGGGCTGAGATGCGATGACAAAAGGTCTCAGGAAGTGACAGGCCCTCTGACACAGAGAAGGGGAGGGCAGACAGGGTGAGAATGGTTTTCAGAGCACCCTACTTTCCTCAGAACGTATAAACCATCTAAGTGAGTTATTTAAAATATGAGAAGGATGAGAAAAGAGGTTAAATTACTGTAGATAAAGTCTAGTAGCATTTTATTTAGAGAGAGAAACGGGGGGAGGGTCCAGGGAGAATTGGGCTTTAAAATATAGAAAGCTGATAATGATAACTAAACCAACATCCTGTGCCACAATCCAGATTAGTTAAGCTATCTCTTTTGCCTGAAAAAAAAAAAAAAAAAAAAAAAAAGAATCCCAGAAACTCTTTCAGGCAAGTCAGCCTGGTAAGTATCATCAGTCCCCAGAGAGTGTGGCTGCCAGGGGGAGTGCGGGTGACTGTGTCAGAGACTCTGTAAAGGAAAGTAACACAATACTGCTTCCATTAGCTACAAGGAGAAAAATGCAGAAACATGAGGCAAGAAACCCCAAATTTCTATGGAACGTTGGGTATTGTTTCTGAGGGAAGGAGGCCCATGTTTGAAGGGCTTTTCTGTTTCTGTCTCCTCAGAAGTTTCTGCTCCTTTGTTCTGCTCCTCTGGGGCAGTCAGCTGTCCCAGCAACAGCAGAGCCTTAATGGTTCTGTTGAAGGTAATAACTTGCTAAATAAAATGAATGAAATTCTTCTAGGAATTCTAAACTAGGAAACCATATGCTTATTCTTGAATGTCTATTTTCAAAAAGACTCAAGCCGTCTTCACTGTTCCTATGGTTTCCGCTTCTCCATTTGTGTCTGGAAGTCAAAGGTTGAAATTGATTGTCTTTCCAAATCACTCTTTTAAAAACAACAAAAAAAACAAAACAAACAAACAAACAAACAAAAAAAAACAAAAAAACTGAGACAGGGTATCCTGCCTATCCTGTGCTAACATCAAAAGCAGGCTACCACTGTGCATAGCCGTTTTTTTGTTTTTTTAAATGTGGGTTCTGGCTTTTAATCTAAGCTGCTGCCCTCATGCTTTAGAGGTAAAATGTTTGATCCACTGAAGGTCTGAGCTAATGCCAGTAGCAATAGTGCCCTGAAAACCAAGGGTCATCTCCTGGGAGCTGGTTCTCCCCTTGATTGTGAGTCAGAATCCTGGAAGGTCTGGTTAAATAAGACGTAGATTTCTCTCAGATTCAGAAGAAATGAGGTAAAGTCTGAGAATTTGAGTTTCTAAACATTTCCAAGGTGCTGGTCACCTTCAACACTGGTCTACACAAAACAACCCTTGATTTCTTTCAGGGTGACAGAGGGCTGGGACCCTCTGCACACACTACACACACATACAGTCAGTATCCCTGCCCCCACCTGAGACAGGTCCTAAAACATTATCAGACTGTTCCCCAGGATGGAGATTTTTGTACACGTCTGGCAAGAAGTTAGGTTGCCTGAAAGCCTGAAGGAACTTTGCTGTCCCGTCCCTGCTACAGTCTGGACAGCAGCAAAGCTGCCTTCAATCAGGTTGAGGGAGAGGAGGAAACACCTGTCACTCAAACCTCTGGACCCCCCCTTTCCTGGGAGGCGGCCAAGTCAACTATGAGGCAAGGAAGAACCTTCACTCTAAATCAAGCTTGGTAACACTGGTCTGACCTCCTGGGGCAGGTTTTCCCAGCATTCTCTGCACTATAGGGTTTTCTTCCTGTGTGTGTGGAGGCCAAAGGTTGACTTTGAGTGTCTTTCTTGATTATTGTTTTTTGAAAAACAAAACCTGAAGCAGGGTCTCCTGCTCCTCCTGTGCTGAGATTATAAGCAGCCTGCCACCTGTGCACAGCTTCCTCCGTTTACGCCTGTGAGGTAAACGCAGGATCTGCTGAGTCATCTTCCCAGCACCCTCACCGCCACTTCTGACCACTGTTGGGTAAGGTTTGAGCCAATGGGCTCCTCAGATGCAGCTCAAAGCCCCTTCAACAGTTTCCTCTTCCACCACAAACCACTGACTGCTGTTCGCACTTGAACTCTCTGTGGCCCCAGAATGTCTCTCAGTGTAGTTCCCCCTGCACTCTTGTTCCTGTAAACGAAAATTCCAGGAAAGTACCTTTATGTACAGAGGCAGAGGACTGGGTTAGTGCTTCGGTGACCATGAAGCCCGAGGACCGTGGCAGTTTGAGGGACAACTCCACAATTTATCTTGGATGACCTTTAACCTACTTTGCCCACCTCAGTGTCAGACTCAAGGAGTGGATAAATAAATACTTTTGGAATGTACTAACTCAACAAAGCCTAACTGCTACCAGCCAAAGGGGTAAGAAAGCTATCACACAATACTCAAGGCTCGTGGGCTTGGCTGTAACCTGCTTCCTGGATGTCCCTTCTAAGGTTTCTAAAAATTGCTTTATTTCGATCTCTTTTTCTCTGCTACTATAAAAAATTAATCAGACGGCTTCTATGTTGGAAATATGCTGAAGTAACCTGGCGCTGCCTTCTCAGGCCATGCTCTCTGACTTGACTCTAAAATAACTCAACTCAGGTTTTGAAGTGACAGCAGTTTTTGCACCGATGATGACTACAGTGACCAGGATGACCCTTCCAAAGGTCAAGTCAGGTCACTCCAAAGCTAAAAATCCAGCAGCAGCCTTTCTCCCTCACCACACAAGCTATCTATTAGAGAGGCTAGAGGCCTTCCTAAGTAAGATAGCTGCCAGTATCCCGCAGGTCCAACTCTTCCTAATCTAACCCACTGTGGGCCTGTCATGTCAGCCTCCTGATTGGTCCATGACCACCAGTCACAGTCCACTACATGCTAGCCCTTATTTTTTTATTCCTTTTTCTTCATCTTGGTGAGGTCCCCATTGGTTCCACTTAAAACAGTAACCTCTGCCTCCATCCAGCCTCCCCTCCCATGGTTAATTTTCTTCATAAACAGATCACTGCTGTCTCCCACATATACGGTTCATCGAATTATTGGTCTCCCCAGAAAGGTGCATATTTTTTTAAAAAGTAGGAATCTTTCATGGCTGAATTTCCACTATGTAGAAATGTACCTGGTAAATTACAGATGCTGAAAAATATCTGTTATATCCAGAAAAGTCATCCTATGAACCTGAAGGGAAGGTAAGCCTTCTTAGACAAAATGGATGCACTTTGTTCTTAAAACAGTTGTTCTGTAAGAGGCATGCAAAGTTCATCAGAAGCCCATGAGGAGCTACAGAGCTTTGGAGAAATGACCGATGAAAGCATTGGTGAGGGGCCCCAGGAACTAGACTGCAGGACTTAAGGCTGTTTTTGTAATCAGGTCCTGCTGAGCTCCTACTGTCTACCAGAGCCCATGGGTCACACAGGGCAATTGGAACAGCCAACTACTCTCAAATTCTCATTCTTAAGATATAAATACAACCTTATTCAGCACCAGGAAGCTGTGAGTTGGAAACATTTGTGCTTCCCTCAAAAGAGATGCATTTAGATTTGGACTCAAATCTATCCTGCTGGGGATAGGGAGTGATCAGGGATCTGGCTCAGTATACAGCATGAGAACAGATCCTCAATAACCATGTAAACAGTCATGTGTGCCACAAGACTGGGAGTGGGGAGCAGAGCTAGGTAGATCTCAGGGGCTCACTGGCTACCCAGTCTAACCAGAATGGGAAGGGTACAGGTTCACTGAGAGATCCTGCCTCAAACAGCTAAGGTGGAGAGTGACTGAAAAACATCCTGAGGTCAACCCGAAGAACATGTACACGTACACACACACACACGTACATACACATGTACACACACACACATGCACACACAAACACACAGGTACACACACCTTTTGTAATTTTAAAGTTAAAAAGCCACTACAAAATTGTGTTGCTTTATAAATGAAGAAATTTGTTTTTTTGTTTCTTGGTTTGTTGGTTTTGTTTTTCATTTCTCCAGAACCCGTGTTGCTAGGCTAAGAATAGCATTTTCCTCAATTCTGTTGTAACTGGGACCAGCTACAGATCCTACACCACCTCTGCGGTTAGGAGGCAATTAATGTGATCTGAGCATGGGATTGCCTGAAAAGTTTTCCCAGGCAATTCCATTGACTAGCAAAGTTTGGGAAGCGCTCTGCAGGAGGATGTCTGGGAGCTGGAGCCGGGCCTGGAGGGGTGTCTGTACGCTTCTGCTTCTCTTCACTGTCTACTCTCTGCTGTCCCCCTACTCAAAGACCTCATCCTATAGCCGTAAAATACACACTTTTGGTTGACAGTACCATGCAGATTTTTGAATGAAATAATTTCCAATGCTTTACCCCAAGATCCCAGAGAAAACCATTTAAGACACATAAAGCTCAAGTGGAAAATGTGTTTCTTCCAATACTACCCTACAATGTGCTCCTGAGAAGAACAAAAGTGGACTGCTCTCTCAGGAAAGGGCATACTCTAAAAAGACCACCCATGCCTCTCCCTTTGGCTATCAGACTGTGTAAACAAAGGGCCGCAAACTGTCCCCCCAACACACACATCCCCCAAGACCGTTTGGGAAAAGGCTGAAGTCCTGGTGCTAGCCAGTGGAGAAACCCACCTCACCGGAAGAGATTACACACAGTTCTGAGCCCTGGAGAGCAGCTGGACCTGAGACTATGGTGAGTCGGGTAGTGGAGCAGGGAGTGGGTGTGGGACTCTCACCTGGACCTGGCCTGCAAACCTCCCGCTTTCTGTTTAAGAAGATGGGAGGAGATTCTAGTTAAGAAAGGAGATGGCTCAGTTAGTAACATGCTTATGCATGAGAGTGAGGATCTTAATTTGATCCCTCAGAATCCACAGAGAAAAGTTGGGTGCAAATTACAATGCTGGGAAGACCTAGGTAGGAGGATCCCGGGGGCTTTCTGGCTGCCAGCCTATCCAGCCCAGCCTGTGAACTCCAGATTCAGTGAAGGACAGTGTCTCAAAAAAATAAGACAGAGTGATTCAAGAAGCCACCCAACATTAACCACTGGGCTGTCGAGTAAAATGCGCACACACACACTTGCGCATCCATGGACATCGGTAGTTTTTCTGCTTCCCAGTGAAGCCTCACTGAGTAAGTTTCTCTGCTTTTCCCTGTCACGTGTCTCTTTAATTGGTATTGGAGGCAGGTGGCCAAGGTTCTTGGTTTGTTGGGGCCGCCAGATCCTCGGCTTCGTCCTCCAACACTCCAGTAACATACAAGCTCACCTTCCAGCACTAGAGACTTAGGCTGGGCACTCATTCCACCAGCAGCTCAGGCACAAAGAAAGCCTTTTCTGAGGGAAGAAGATGTTCTTAGAGAGCTGCATATGTGTTTGTGGAACAGAATTCTGAAGTGCTCCCTCTAATCTTTCAGCCTGGGTCACTGAGGATTTTCAAGGCAAGAACCCGTTGGATAAGTAAGTTATCATGATAACCAGGCCTGAAAATATTCTATAATTAAGACAGCACAGGCAAAAATGGAGTATAGGATTTACTTTTCTAATGAGTGGAGCTAGATAAGAATGAACAAACGAGGTGATAAAGAAAGCCTAGTGAAAAGAAAAGGAAGGACCATAAACCCCACTACTAACAGGGAAGAGAGTGCATTTGGCCCCGTTCCATAACATAAAAGCTAGAGATCACACCCAGCCTCAAAGCTGCCTCCTGCCTTGCCAGGTGGACACTGTCAGTTCAAAATAGTGCTTAAGACAAAGCCTTCAGATGCACACTGCCACCGGCCCAGCTGCCAGCCCCACCGACCAGCACCACACACCAGCGTTCTGCCTTCTGGTCCTCCCAGGCAGTCCTGCTGGCCACTCATTTGAGCAGTGTCTTCCTTTAAGTCTCTCCCTCACACCCTGCAAAGCCCTCTGGATGCTTTGAAGGACAGAGCCCTGGCAGCGGCATCCTAGAAAAGGCACAGCTGTCTGCATAGCTCCGGAAAGGAAACAGCAACCCTCCAGTGCTTCCTTAGCGTTTAAACACACTCACTGTTCTCGCTCCGGTGAGCTGTTGTAAATAATCTTGAATCTCACTGGTGTTGTTAGTGGCTGTGATGTCCACAAATTCCAGAAGACCTTGTTTAAAAGGCAGTTGACTGAGGATTTCTTGAGTTTTTCTGCAGTAGGGGCAGGTGGGCTTGATGAACACGACCACCTTCCCAGACTGAATCTTGCAGTTCACAAACTCCTGAGCCATGTTGACAGGCTTCCCCTGAGGATCGTTCAGTTGAAGGTACTGATCTGGGGTAAAACGGCGGCTTAGCCAGCAGCTCCCATTTAATAAGGAACCTCCTTGGAGGAGGAGTTAACAAGTAGGATGCTTCAATTTTAAAGGGCCAGCCTCAAAGTCAATTCATTCCGGTGTGAGTCACCAGTTACTAGGCCTACCATTGCACACTTGCTGTTTAAACCATAGTAGTGTCGTCCAGGCAGTCTTGTGTCCTCCCCAATATCAGAACTAAGTCACCCTCTAAAATAGCAGAGATATCATGGACCAGTTTCTGGGTAGGAGGTGCCGGGACCTCTTAGAACAAATTCTCTCTCTCTCTTTTTCTTTTGGAAACATGATTGTTTTGAAAACAAAACAAACAAACAAACAAGCAAACAAAAGGAAACAGGAAATCTTTGACTCCTCAGAGGAAGTGGGGGCTGCACAGTGACTGGGCCTCAAGGGCTGCACCAGCATGCTTTCTTTGGCCTGTAAGGTGGATGTTTGTGTGATTAGTGGACTTGCTTCTTGGTATGTAAAAATATGCTAAGTCGACAAAGCTATCTGGACTTTCTCTGTCTCTGAAAAGTGCAGTACCATGCTCTAAGACCATGATGAACTATCAGCGGGGTAGATTTGTGACTGAACTTTGCCACAGGACCTACCTGTGAAGCTAAGTCTTTTAATAGATTTCTCTTACCCCAAAAGCCTTAGGGTTGGTGACCTTTGAATAGCAGTTCAAAACCCCTGACCTTAGATTCCAGACAGAATGAGGATCTTTTCCTGCCTGACTTGTTTTGGCAGTGGGCCGGCGTACTTTCAGGAGGCGGTGCTGAGGTAGATAAGCAAACCAAAGAGAAAACTCCTGTCAGAATAAAGGACCTTTCCAAGCAAGTAACAAGTTTCCACACTAGAATCAGAGTATCTTATAGGAGGCCAGACTAGAGTCATGTCATTTTGATGGCTCTGGTGCAATTGTGACAAAAGAGAAGTAAACTGACTTCTGAAGGCTGCTTCCTTTGTCACTCTCACTGTAGCCCACATCAAATGGCAAAATAACAGTCAAATGGACATATTCAGGGCCACAGAGGAGCTCAGAGAGAGCTCTGTCAACCCAGAAGTGTGGCCCCGCTGCATGGCTGAGGCAGCTGTTCTGTGGCAGAGCTGGAGACCTCTTAGCCCATAGCTCCCTACACTTCTGAACTAGCTTAGGGGTAAAGTCTGGATCTTGCTCATTTTCTTCACTTTAACCTGATGCCAGCCTGTTCCAGGGGCCTCTTAAGGGCTCTTGCTGTTCACATGACCCTGGGAATCAACACATGGTACAGGCTGTTCCTTTAGAGTTTTTCTCTCCTTCTCATCTGTCTGGTCTTTCCCTTTCTCCTTTTCCTAAAAATGTGACTCTTTCATCTCTCTCGTAGACCATGATTGAGAACCACCATGGTCATCTCTCCCTTGCATGTCCACATTCTGTCCTGATCTAATATTTGCCACTCGTGTTTTCCTTGCCTCCCCTATTGTTGCAATCTGACCTCCTTAACCCTCCAATTGAAATGCTTCAGGTTACTTAAGCATCCTAGAACCAGCATTTAGCAAGAGCAGCAACATGGGGACCTCCCAAAAGACCTGTACAGAGTCCTGTGGGGCTTGGAGTCCCATGTTACGCCTAACTCCAAACTCCATACAGGTGAGGAGCCTTGTCTGCGTGTGCTGTATCTATAATTTTACAATGTCTGATTTGGAGTCTACCATATTTACTTGAAGTCTCATAAATGATAGTACCTGGATACAGGAGAACTCGATTGTCTGTCCTGCAGCTCAGGTTAAGACTAGTATCTGAGCCATTATCTAATATTTAATATATTTAATGTCCTTATGCGGACCTCCCCTCCAAACCTCAGGAAAGGATTGGCTGCTGAGAAGCCCTGCCTTCAGCCTCACTGACTTAGTGCTCAGACTGCCCAGCTTTCTGCTGAGCCTCCCAGTGCAGACGTTTGTCTTATGGCTAGGGCAGAAAGTTGAAGGCATCTTTAGTCTCCTCTGCAGTACATGGAATGGCCAAGCTTTCCTAGGTTGGCCTGCTGGGTCTGAACACCCGACTACTCTGATTGAATGCTGCACTGTTCTTGGGGGCCCAGCCCTCCTGGTTCCTCACTTGGTGTCCTTACTATATAGCCTTACAGCCCGCTCTGTGGTACTGCCAGACAGTCTTTAGAAATGCTAGCACTACCACTTGTGTGGCTCTGATAATGCAAGGATAGATGCATTTTTTTTCTACTTGTTCTTAAGGGACTTTATAGATGACAGAAAATAATTTTAAAAGAACTGTGAGGGGGCTGAAGCAATAGCTCCAGGTTAAGAGCACTGGCTGCTCTTCCAGAAGACTCAGATTTGATTTCCAGCATGAACTTCGTGGTTCATGACGGTCTGTAACCTAGTTCTTTAGGATTGCACACCACTTCTGGCTTCCATGGGCCCCAGGCATGCACATGGTATACAAACATACATGTAACATACATGTAAGCAAAATACCCATATCATAAAAAATTAAAATAGAAAACCAGTGACATATGATGGTTAGGGCACAGTTTATCATGTGAGATTAGCTGGGAGGCACTCAGTCTATTAGGAAGGAAGTGTCTGCTCTGCAGTCCTTCTCAGTAGAGCTAATACAATCTGGATCTGTGTGACTTGTCAGACTCGCAGGAGGTAAGAGCAAAGACAATGGTGGTCCTTATGTGTCTACTCCTGAACTCACCCAATCAGTTACCCTGGGCTAGACGCAGGTCCTCATATACAATTCCATTCTTAGGAATTCATAGGAAAGTTGGGGATACAGTGTGATGGTTTATATATGCTTGCCCCAGGGAGTGGCATGATTAGAAGGTATGGCCCTGTTGGAGTAGGTGTGGCCCTGTTGGAATAGGTATGTCACTGTGGATGTGCACTATAAGACCCTTACCATAGCTGGCTGGAAGTCAGTCTTCTACTAGTAGGCTTCAGATGAAGATGAAGCTTCAAATGAATCTCTGATCTATGCTTGTGTGGGACCATAAAAGGTAGCCTGGTCCCAGTTAAGACTAGAAGCCCCAGAGACCCTGAAGGGACAGTAGGAGCTTCACCTGCCCCTGGGCACCAGGACTCTCTCACTAGCTGAAGCCCATATAGATTTGTGGCCATCAGTCACATAGGGGCAATGCCCCAAGCCCTTCCACATGTAGATGAGGAATAGGATGTGACCTGTGGTCATGTAAGCTCAAGATAGATCTCCAAGCTAATGAGGTACATAGAGGCCTAGAGGGATTAGCCAATAAGCTTTCCTTCCTAGACATTCTTCCCTGCGCAAAGTATTTAATCTCAGGCCCACCCTGAGAAGTGGGGTATGGTTTTACACATCTGCTTTTCACCATGACAGTGAATGATTTAGAACCATGGGACTGTCGCTTTCCATCAAGATCTGCCATGGGGAGCCATGGAAAAGGCCTTTGCCTACAGAGCTGCTGTCTAATCTCCTGTAGAAGGCTTCTCTGCACTCTCAGACACTACTGCCACCAAGCCCAAGCCTGCCACCAGCTGTCAAGCCAAGGAATATCTCCATTGGATCAATGGAGGTCCCCCCAAACCGTTGTGTCCAAGAGCTTGGGAAGCCAATGGCCCCGCCCTCTTCCCAGGCCCAGGGACTCCTGAGCCAACTCCATGGCAGAGTAGACTTGGGACCCACAACCCTACATGCTTGTACCATGCCTGCCTGGATGCTGCCATGTTCCCACCTTGATGATAATGGACTGAACCTCTGGACCTGTAAGCCAGCCCCAAATATATGTTGTCCTTTATAAGATTTGCCTTGGTCATGGTGTCTGTTCACAGCAGTAAAACCCTAAGATAGAAGTTGGTACCAGGGACTGGGATATTGGTGTGATAGGCCTGATCGTGCTTTTGTTTGGAAGAATGTAGATTTGGGAACTTTGGATTGGGAAAGTAGTGAAATGTTTTAAATGGGCTATCCTAGTAGGAATATGGAAGACTTTGTTACTGAGAGTAATTTGAACTGTGTGGACCTGGCCCAAAAGTTTCAGTGGAGAATTTCAATATGTAGCCTAGAGGCTGTTTCTGTGGGATTTTGGTGAAGAATGTGGCTGCTTTTTGCCCTTGTAGGAAGAGTCTGGCTGAGGCTAAGGTAAAGAGATTTATATTAATTACATTGTCAAAAGAAATCTCAAAAAAAGATCAGCCTAAGACAGAGCAAATTCTAGGTAAAGAAATCTTAAATTCAGGCTTGGTGAACTACACCTTTATTCCCAGTGTTTAGGAGACAGGCATGCAGATCTCTTGAGTTCAAAGTCAGTCTACAGAGCAAGTTCCAGGACAGCGAAGCTTAGACAGTTGGAAAACAGAAGGAGTTGGAAAACAGAAAGCTGGTGATAATGTAATACAACAATAAAACATGTTCCAGCTCCAGCAAGCAGCAGAACTCGGCAGCCCTGGCCATTTGGCTCTGGCTTTAGAGTCCATAATAGAAGGGACTACTGGGATAATTGATGCTGGCTAGCTGGAGCTAAGAAATTAGTGGTGATTAAGAAGAGACCAGCATCACTGAGGTGAATTTTTCTGGGAAGTGTTTTCTGAAAGCACAAAGAAGCTATGTTCCAGAGATAGCCAAGGTTGTACCTCAGACTGTAGCTGTACTTGGTAATGTATAAGAGTCACCCAGGTGGTACTGGTTTTGAAGGCATGAAAGTGTCATGAAAACAGCTGAGACTTGACACTATGAGAGGCCATAGAAGGCCATTGGTGAAGGTGCAGCCTCAGTTGCAATTGATGGCCCAGGACTGAATGGGTCATGCAAAGGAGTTGATATTTGGCAACATGAAGAGAGCCCATGAGAGGCTATTGGTGAAGCCTAGTTGCAGCACAGTGTATTGGAGATGCCAGTATCATGGGATGATCACCAAGAATAGCAGCAGCAGTTGAGTGGATCATCCTGAGCTTAGAGTGCTACAGATTTATATTAATTACATTGGCAAAGGAAATCTTTGAGCTGGAGAAGTGATGTCAACC